CCTATGGGCTGTCTTTCGCTCAGAAATCGGTGATGTTTCCTGTCAGCGTAAATGTCATGTACCCTTGACGGAGGTGTTTGCTGTCGGAGATTTCAGTGGAAACATCAGTCGTGACCTGGGAAAATTTGTTCGTATGAAGAAGTTGATCACCAATCGAGAGTATATTCTGAGAGGGAGCACAGTGTACGGACTGGGGTGCACAACCACACTAGTAGGCACACATGGTGCAAACCATTCCTCGTCTTCGTGATAACCGGGAAAAGACTGGTGATTATGTCGAAATAGGGTCAAGTTGGGTAATTGAGCTAAGTATCGCACAAATCGGATACATCGCAATAATTGGTACATTCCAGGTTGTTGGTAGAATGTACAGATTATACACACAATGCAACATACTAAACGGTACCGCCAACGTGGTACCTAACTGAGAAAACGATCCACCCTCAAAATGAAAAGAACATCACGCGATCATATTCAGTTCCATTTGTCCAAATACGGAAAATGCATTGTGACAGAACACATACATCTGGAAGGGTCACGTGACAACCACACAACTGGGGAAGATGCGTGAGAGTATTGGCGGAATANATAGGTGCAAAAAAAACGATGTGTAGGCATCAAGATCACATCAATGACTAAGATTAATTTGAGGTTGAGTGAACGCAAAATATACCCATAGGTTCTGTCTCAACTGTCCGAATAGGTCATCATTACGCATTGTCAGAAAAACCACATTAATGGACAAACTGGTTTGTGATGATTCATTTACAGGCTAACGCATCACAATCTATGTCAATCTATGTTTGGTACGGAGAGCGGCGAGAGGGAGAAATCATGACAAAATAGAAAAAAGCATGGAATATTGTTTATTTCTTTTCTTCTTTTCTCATGATTCTCCCACCCAACCTCTTCTACTGAACACTGACATGCATTATGATGTATCGGCCTGTAGATGAATCATCGCAAAACAAGCTTGTTCACTACTGCATGTTTCTCTTACAAGGTTTTATTGCAATCGAAGAGATCATTCAGAGAGTCAAAGAGAATAATGTGGTCAAAATCTCATTTTCCCGAATCAATCTTTCGTCACATGTAAAAATCTTGGCTCTCAAGTTAATGCATACTGCAGAACATCAAATGAACTGTGAGAAAAGACGCATCTATGTGAGCTGGATAGCCGTTTGAATGCTGTCAGCTTAATTTCAAAAAAGTAGGATACGAGTAAATACAATGTGAAAACATCTGATCAGCGCCGATCACGGGAGAAAAGCAATCACCCTGAATCTATTGCCGTTGCATTCAGAACCCACCATATGGCTTGTGATTCACTATCCTAGAATCCGAGATATACGCCACCGTTCTCATGTATCAAACAGTGCCGTACACACTTAATCGTCTGCTTTGACTTGTTGAAACGCCTCGTCTACTTTCTGACCCTGGTCAGCCTGCCAATCCATTTTTCCCGTCTGATCCACGACGGGTGGTGCAGTGATCTGGTTGCTGTCACCCGCGAGGCTTTGGGATCCATGGTTTGAACCCAACCACTACCATCTAAAATTGGTGATAGACAGCTTCGCTTTTGTTCGGCTCAATACACCACCTGTACTAGTGGAATCTTATGTGGTTCACCACTCCGAGTCCAGAGGCCTAGATTGCCGGTTTCCATTACTGAGCAGTAAATGTTTGCGACTATCTGATCTACGTCGTCCGTTATTCATCACACTAATGTGTGTAACAAAAAACCGACATCGACCTGTTTGAACCGAATAGGGCTTTTTACTGCCAATTTTCTGCAATTAGAGATATCACTACCTCTTAACTGTCGATACCGATGCTCACGGATCGCATTTTTGGAACTAACGTGCCTCATAAGTTGAGCTATGAAATTTGGATTGTGCGTGCTTTATTCCTTTAGTAAACGTAGACCATCGAATTGGTTATCAACAACAGAACTGAGTGGAAGGACTGTATACTAGTTACTCAACTATTGGATGATGGTCTCGTACAAGAAGATAGTTGTGATCGTAACATTGGTGGGGGGAAGTTAAATCCTTAGTCTATATATTCGCCTCCCCTGAAAACACTTTGGAGGATAGGAAAAACTGTGGGGTCTGTAAGTCTAGTCCGAAGCAACAGCTTCACTCATGGATAATACTCTCTTTTTGATATCTTTACATCAAGATGTTTAAATTCGCGAGGGTTATGAGATATCTATTACGAGTTAACCAGTAATTTGAGTCCGACAAGTTGCCAGCATTAAATATAATGAAACAAAAATGGAAGAAGATGCACCTTCTTTTTACCGCTTTACAATGTACGCTCTTCGATATATATTGTATTGTTTTTACTGTGTATTTGCTGGAGATGGGCTCGTGGTTATTCACAGCAAAACGTTTTCAGCATTCAAACCACTGTTTTCGACCCTGAACCATAACTCTTAGGGTTTCTAACCCACTGCAGTCATTGTCCATTAGGCCCCAGTCAGTCAGAAGGACTATCTGAGATCAATGGTCCAGTGAACTTTCTAATATCGCGCGCACCGAGCTATGAACTGAATACTACTCTCAGTTATATCCACAAATCGCAAACAGTGACCGGTAAGGGAGGGAGTGAGCAGACTTGCGTGGTATGTGTTCAAGTCATCAAGAATAACAGGTGAGGTTTCGAATCGGGTGTAGATGGCTCGATAAAATCTTTATCGACGGTCAGGTAGCTGAACATCGTCAAATGTTCCAAAAACCGACTATCGTGATGTCTAAAAGCAGTGTTCAACTTATGGAAAAGATCGACAGCCTTGTTTAACTTGTAAGTAAAGTAACCAGTGTTGGTAACATTGAAGATAGCAAAAGTGAAACTGGGCAACTCTTTGCGGGTTTGCGCTAGGTTTCGGAATAAGACAATGTACGCTGACGCTTACGTCTCTGTTGACTCAATCTTTCTGAAAATAATTATAACCACTGATTACACCGAAACATGAGAGGCTGTTTTTGTAGCGTTTCCAGTTTTCTTGTCCAATTTGAATTCAAACATCTTAGAGAATAGGGCTCAGAGAAGAAAGACCTTGGTGTTTGATAGTCTCTCGATGATTCTGTCTCGCTTTAAAGGGGGATCAAATCTCAGGGATATTGAACATCATGATGGAATTTCAATAGTTACT